ATATTTATTCACCCAAACCATATTTGGTATCAATGTTATACCTAACAATGCTATTATGTCTAATTACATACAGTTGCATAAAAAAGTCCTCCACAGTTTACAGTTTATGACATTTTTTGGATAGGCCATTGATTTTATGATATTTTATGCTAACTGCTATGCAAATGTTGTTATATTTAAATAAATACTGCTGGTTTTTAAGTGAAAAGCACAAGCTTTTTGCAATTTGGTGCTGTTTGGATGGGGATTGTGAATTTTCTTGCATGCATACATGCATGCATACAATGACTATGAAAACAGATTAACTGATGCATACCCAGTGGCATACGTGTTGCAATTACTAACGTCAATGCTAATGTTTTAACTTTTTTAAAAAAAAAAAAGTTTTATTGGTTTTAACAACGAACAAAAACATATAAAACATAAAACATAAACCATAAAAACATCATCCTCCTTCATAAATTTACAGACAGTGTATCGGTTGGTTTACCACTCTTTTGTGCATCCATTTCATAGTCTCCATTGTAGTTATATTAAATAATAACTCATATTATCAATCAACAATTATATAACCTAATATCATTATTAAACAATCATTTGACTATAATTTTATTAATTCATACTTTAACGAGATAACTATAATTTACTTAGTTTATTTTATAACAAATCGTAAAGTCATACCAGTTCTATCTTAATAAAATTTTATAAAAATAGTGTCAAAAAAAGAAGAAAAAAAGAAGAAGTATATATTCATTATTTCCTAAGTTTCTAAATATTCTATTATTATATTTTATTATCTAGCCATTGATAGAAAAGGTCCCAAACTTCATAAAATTGTTTATCTTCTTGTTCTCTAATTTCAAATGTCAATCTACTCATTTCAGCACATTCCAATATTTTCTTAATAATTTCTTCCTCTTATGGTATTTTCTCACTCTTCCAATTTTTAGCAAATACAATCCTAGCCGCTGTTAATACATTTACAATCAAATGCTTCAAATTTTTATTGTATGTATCAGGTAAGATTCCCAATAAAAAGATCTCTGGTTTCAAATCTATATGTTTCTTTGTCATTTTTTCCAGCCATATGCAAATTCTAGTCCAATATTTTCTAGCATCCTCACAAGTCCACCACATATGGTAGTATGAGCCAGGTATCTGATGACATTTCCAACATTTTTCAGACTTATTCTTGAACATTCTTGCTATTCTTGTCGGGGGGGAAATGCCACCTGTAAAACATCTTATACAAGTTTTCTTTATATGCTGTTGACATTGTCATTTTATAATTTTGAGACCACAATTTTTGCCATTTCTCTAAATCAATCCATATCCAAAATTCTTCCCCCAAGCAATCATCATTTCTTTGACTTGTTCTTCCTCTAATTTAATTTCCAACAAATAACCATATAATTTTTTGATCACTTTTTCATCAGTACCTGTCAAAATCCTATCTAGGTCAGTCATTTTATCATAGAATCCCTCTGTTTTAGAATCTTTAAGATACCTTGAGTGTATTTGCACATATGAAAACCAATTCATCTTTATACCTTGTTCTTCTAAATTTTGCATCGTTTTAAGTTCACCCTTTTCATCCAATATTTCCCCATATCTTACTGTTTGTTCCTTCTTATATGTTATAGGATAAGAGAAAGCTTCAATAGTAGATAACCAAACTGGGATTTTCAAATAACATTGTCTCTTAATTTTCTCCCAGTTCAACCATAAAGACTCCCGTATATAATGCCTTCTAAAATAGCCCTGCGATTTAGTTCCCTTATACCACAGAAAAGCATGCCAGCCCAGTAAGAAATCATGTCCTTCTAGTGTCAACAATCTAGTCTTTCTTAATGTTATCCATTCTTTGGCCCACATTAAATTTGCGGCTTGGTAGTACAACTCCCAATTAGGAAGGCCAAATCCTCCTCTAATTCTAGCATCTTGTAAAAGTTTTAATTTTATTCTCGCTTTCTTTCCTTGCCATATATATTTCAACACAATTTTATTTAATTCTTCAAAATAATCTTTACCAAGCCTGATTGGTATTGTTTGGAACAAATATAAAATTCTGGGTAAAATATTCATCTTGATTGTTGAAATTCTACCTAGTTCTGGAGATTTTGTGATGACGCAAGAGTGCTTTTTTGCTTTTATATATATAGATAGAAAGCAGGGGTATCAAACTCAATTTCATTGAGGGCTGCATCAAGGCTGTGGTTGACCTCGGAAGACTGGCCAGGCATGGCCCTGGATGGGCATGGCTGACTGGATGGGCATGGCCAACTTGATGCCACTCCCCAAACTGCTGGCATGTCTCCTCTTTGTGTTAGGTAGACTGGGCCAAAGTCAGGCTGGCCCAATCTTTCCTCTTTGCATTGTGTAGACTGGGCCAAAGCCACGCTGGCTTCATCTTTCCTCTTCACATTGGGTAGACTGGGTCAAAGCCATGCTGGCCTAATCTTTCCTCTTCTCACTGGTTAGACTGGTCCGAAGCCAGGCTGGTCCAATCTTTTCTCTTCACAGTGGGTAGACCAGGACTGCCGGATCCAGCCCTCAGGCCTTGAGTTTGATACTTCTATTATAAAGGAATAAGCTGCCTCAAAATCAAAAAATTATTTTTTCAGGAACCCAAAATATACACAAACAATATTTGCTATGATTGTTGCACCAATACTATGTAACAGTTTTTCACCAAGCTATGCTAAGATGTAACGATTTTTCACCAAGCTATGCTAATATTAAAATAATATTTTTAAAACTTTTTTTCCTAATTAAAAAAAATTACCTACAGGAGAAATTTCATATGTTGATGGGATATAACAATCTTGAAGGACCTTTCCTCTTACAATCAACACATTTCCAAACATTCTCATCATACTAGATAAGCTTTGGTGCCATTGAAATCCATAGCTTGGTAATTTTTTGAAACACAAACTTAGACTGTGTCCATCTTTTTAGAGTAATACAAGAAATCTGCAATATCAGAATAGTATACAAACACAGCATTCATAATACAATCCATTTCTTGATTATACAGAAGTAAAACTTAAGTAAGTTCTTGGGGACTTATACTAATACTATCAAAATATTAATAGAACTACAGCCTCAGTATATTTAGAAAAGATAAAGTACTTATTTTTTTCAAAAAGTAAATTGAAACTCTGAAGTTAAAATTATCAAAGATACTTTAAATATATCTCAGATATGATAGGGTATATAAAATATGTTTTGCTCAGCAAAGAATTGATTCTTTTCATCATGTGCAGAGTACTCAATTAAATCTATAATATTTCAATTTGAACTGCAGATGATATTCATGCACTGTGTAATTTACAAACTAACATCATCAAAGCAGGCTTCATTCAGTTCAGATCTGGTCTTCTAACACAAAAATAGTTTTGTCAAAAGTGACTTGATCCTTAAAACTAAATCACATTTTTCTTTACACATGTATTCTGTAAAATTGCTGAAATGCCTTCCTTTCCAATAGAATGTCAATATATGAAACTGTTCTGTCCAGAGGATCTTCATACAGGAAGATACAGGAAATTCATAGATGGAAAAATCTGATAACATATTTTTTAAATTTCTCACTAGCAAAAGCATAGATCAAAGGATTGATACAACAATGAGCTACTGCAAATGTTTCAGTCAGTTGCAATGCTATATATATTCTCTTTAAATTGTCACAGTTGTCAGCAAAAAATGAAGTGTGAAATAACTGAAGCAGAAAAAAATATTGTTTGGGGCCCAGAAGTGGAAATAAGTAAACATGATGGTGAAAATAAGCCAGGCTGTTTTGTTCTTCGCATTGCTGGATTTCCACAAGGTATATAAAATGCATGCATAGCAGAAGGTCACAATCATCATTGGAAAAATCAGACCTATTAAGAACATTTTCAGTATAAAAAACTTGTTCATGCAAAACTACTTTCATGTGGAAAATTAAAAGTGCAAGATTTCTTATAGTTTTCTACATGTAATCTGAAAAAAACTAATCCTGTTAAAGAGACTAAAACTGCCAGGTCTCATGTGTGAATGCTTGTAATGATACCATAGCACATTGCTCAGGATTTTAATGCAGATGCTTAATAAACTATATCTAAATATTGATCAATGGTCAAGAGGACAATGAAAAAACTTCCACTGTAGAAGCATTAAAAAAGACCCCGGCATAAATTTTGCATATTGTATCTCCAAATATCCAGTTGTGTATTGAATAATAAATTCAAGAGGGAAGTAAAAAAATGAAAAGCAGATCAGAGATGGTTAAATTTAACAGATATATATCTGTCATGCTTTTAATCTTGTTATATTTGATAAGGTCCAGTACAACCAGCACATTGCCCACAGGGCCAAAGATGAATACCAAAGAATAAAATTGTGGCAGGACATTGGAAACAAATGACATGGTGCTACTGCACCATCATAGTCAAATTCAGTGATGGGAAATGATTCATCAGTTATTCCATTCATTGGAGTACTATATGTTCCTTGTAATTAAAAAAAAATTACATGTTAGAAAGAGACTTATTTGTGCCATAAGCAAATAATAATAAAATACAGAGATTTCCGTTTACAAGAAAACAGATTGAACCAACCTAGGAAAAAACGAAATGAAAAGTAGTTTAGTGTTCAACTGCATAACTGGTAAGGTACCATGGAACCAACTTACTCAAGATCTATTACAACTACTATTAGGCTAAACTACTAAACTGAAAAATGCTGTATTTGTGGAGAAAAATGAAAATTCTAATTTTTCTAATAATAGATGTAATAGATTTTGAGCTCATATAAAAGTTTTCAAGAAACAAATATATCCAAATTAATTTAGTCTTCCAAAACCTTGCATCACCCAGAATTGTGATTGTAACAAAAAGTTATATTAGACCTTACTAAATAAAATTTAGTCAATGAGATGCTCAGATTCTGTTTGCATTCAAATTTAGATGTTTGAAAAAGGGTCAGTTTTGGATCTTTAAACACTTTCTACCATTTAAAACTAAAACATAGGGCAAATGAGGATCCAAGCATAGATTTCTTTTCCTTATAGCTGCAAGAGAATGCAATTTTATAGGCAATGTTAGACATTCTGGTTTGTTTGAACAATAGTGTTCTGAATTTCTGATTATTTTTGTTCTCTTTATTATGAAGTAAAATCTCATAGTGGTATCAGGGCTTCACTTTCCTGTAATACAGCTACAATGTTCACTTTCCAAACTCTCAGAGGTAAGATAATGGTGATAATCGAACATCTACACTTCTGCCAAATAAAAAATGCTGAGATCAAAAAGTGAAAATCAGTTTGTCATGTCCCAATGTTCTTACTTCCATTCTTTTTACTTTGAATTAAACTAAAGAGCA